AAACAAATATACACCTACAAACAATCACGTCCAAATCCTTGGTTTATGCTCCCTGTCAAGAAAAGTGTCTTGTATAGGACGATTCTTATTTTACTGGACTTTAAGGCTCCCAAGATTATAGGGACCCAGTACCTTTGTTGTCTTCACCTGACAAACTCCAAAGTCTGTCGTAGTATTTCAGACTAGAGTAAGCGATTATCACCTTGAGTGTGACTTCTGACAAGGTTTGTAGACTCTATGGCCACTCTTGGGCTGATTGTACGTCAACCACTCCCTATTTTTATGCTCTCATGCCCTTAGGGTATAGAAGGAACTGTTGCGTGCAAGGGTTTGTGTACAATTGTTATTTCAAACATGTGCGAACTTTTAAACAGACAAACAGATATCAAAGTCAAACAAGTAAATAGATAAGCATATATTTACAAAGTAGCTAAAAGATAAAGAAAAAGATAAACAAGATAAAGGTGAAGATAAAGATTAGGCCTTTTGAGAAGGTTGGAACGGCCCGTTCTGGCTTGGGAACAGCTCGTTCCGGGCTCCTAATTCAATCTTATTGTGCTTTGGGTCTCTTGATGTCTTGTTATGTCATTTTTGGGCTTTCAAAGACTCCTTTTCTTCATGCTCGATGTCCATTTTCTGCCCCGGATGAAATTAGGTGTCAACAATGGACATTGTGCTTGAATTGCGAACATGTGACTCTCGTGTGATATAATGTAGCGTACATGTATTGGGTATTTTATCCAAGTAAACATCGTATGTGATGAGTACGTATTTATGATATTGTGAGCTATGATTAATATAAATGATGTGAAATAGTATTGGCAAATTGACAAATTGATATGTGTGGATTTTGTGAGGGTCATGTGATGACAAATTGACAAATTATGAATATGCATGATGATAATATGATATAGCATTAAGTCTTGTCAGGGCCGGATATTCAATAAGGCAATTAAGGCCAATGCCTAGAGCCCCCAAATTTATAAAGCCTCCAAATTTTTTTAATAGTAATAATATTATTGATATAAATTAATATATAAAAAATTAATATTATTTGAGATAAGGCCCAATATTTTATATGACACATATCTTATATTTTTTATATCTCTTATTTTCTTATTATTAAAATTTCTTAAAAGACCACAACCCATTTATTAGTGTTTGTAAATGAAAAGTTACTCAACACTCAACAGTCACTACTACTTTTGTATTTTACAGATGACAGATTTTCAACCTCTTTGTTTTCTCTCTAGTTTATCTCTTTCTCATTCTCTCTCCATTCTCATTCTCAATTCCTTCTTCGCGTCTAATTTGAGAGCTTGATTGGGAGTAATATGGTCCTATTCTGTAAGATCCTTAAAACTGCTAAGTTAGTATAATTCTAGGTGTTGGTTCAATAACATCAACGCATTTTCTTAGTTATCACCATTAACAATCCATTGTAGTGCACTTCTTGCATGATATTGCATTGTGAATTTGTCATGGGTCATCCCGGGGATCAGTACCACATATTCTTCTTTATTGAAATTGAAGTTTGTCATTGTGACAAGACTTCTTCTTTCCATGATTTCCTGCGTGTCTTTTAAAAGTCAAGATCAAACCCTTTTGAAACATTGTAAATTAATTATTAATGCATGAGAAAAAAAATAATTTAGTACAGTACTTTTATTTATAAATTACAATTTTTAGATCTCATTTTTTTTATTGTTTATCATTGTAGGTATACATGCAAAGTGATTGTCACTACGATTTCGATTTTTAATACTCATAGCTGGGACAATGCATAGCCATAGCTTAAAGAAATTTTCATTCACATACACTTTCCAGGTTTTATTGTTTCATTGTTATCTTCTTTTAATTAAAATTTATTTTTCTTGTTATTTTTATTTTAGCCAATCATTAAAATATGTCAAATAGAAAGTATGTATCTAGTTTTGGAAAGTTGAGAAAGAAAAAAGAAGAATTGAAAAAAATTCAAAAATTATAGGAAAAATGGTTTTGCATCTGCATTAGAATCCACTAAAGAAATGACTATTGAAATGGATATAGAGCCTAAGTTCAATGAAAAACCTAAGATTCATAGGAAAAAACATTTTGATGACATTGATAGTGAGGAGATAGCTTATTCTGCTGAAGATTCTTTTCGCGTTAATTATTTTTTGTATATATTAGATAAATCTATTTCTTCTATTGAGAGTCGATTTGAACAATTTTTAGAATATGAAAACATGTTTAATTTTTTATTTGATTCAAATAAATTTAAAACTTTAGGGGAAGATGTTGAAAAAATATTGTATCAATCTTGAAAAGATTTTGAGTTTTGAGGACCATTTTGATATTGATGGTCTTGATTTATTTTCATAATTAAAGTTATTGAAATAAATTCTAACAAATGAAATTAACACACCATTAAAAATATTGAACTATATAAAAAGATCATGTTCTTTTCCAAATACATACATTGCTTATAGAATATTATTAACATTACTTGTAACTATTGCAACTGCCGAAAGAAGTTTTTCAAAATTAAAATTGATTAAATCATATTTAAAATCAACTATGTTACAAGATAGATTGAATGAGTTAGCTATATTATCTATTGAGAGTGATATGTTAGAATCACTTGATTATAAAACTTTAATAAATAATTTTGCAGCTCAAAAAGTCAGAAAAATAACATAAAAATTATTAGGCTATATTAACATAGACTTCTATTTTAATTTTTGCCTAAGGCCCCAAAATTCCTAGAGACTGAGAGACGACCCTAAGTCTTGTGTGACAAATTGACACATTACACATATATATAGAAATTTGATTGGGTGTCACATGTATATACAAATCATAATCCATGTACATGTGTGAACGTGTATTATGTGATGAGTGATGTGGTGAATCGTAGTTGATCTAATTATAGCTTGTTATTATTAATTTAATTGTAGATATGTGTGTGTGGCTATTCTGCCTTATTTTATGCTTAGTTAGAGTGAGTTGTTTATCACTCTCATTTTCTTTTGTTTGTGCTCTTATGTATGTGACTAGTGAGGATCATCATGTGGATCATGAGGCTAGAGATGAGACTTATGCCTTATGCTAGGTGTTGTGCTCTAATAGAATATGATATCAGGGTTTAGCTAGGGTTCTTTATGTGTAGAACTTTATGTTAGATTTTGTTTTCTAATTGTTATATTGGACATTTGTTTTAGTTCTTTTAGTGACGTGTTATGTGACACCTCTATCCGAAGGAATTTTGCAAACCTTAGTTTAACCAATAAAGTTTATTTTCGAACACTTTTCTATCTTCATTATTTTATACACTTAATATGATATGTTGGCTATAATATGTCATAGTTTTAGTCCTCTAAGTATCATAATTATATGATTTTAGTTTCTTAAGTATCGTAATTATATAATTTTGACCTATTTAAGTAACATATATTATTAAATTTAATTAGAAAAAAAAAATATATATATATATATATAATCACGATACTTGGATGACTATTATCATATGATTACAATTCTTTAAAAGACTAAAAGTGATCAACTAAAATTTAAAAGACCAAAATCACATAATCGTCATATTTGAAATATTAAAATTTGAGAGATTAAAATTACACAACTATAATATATAAAGGACCAAATATATTTAAGAAAAAACAATTAACAATTAATTTAAAATTGAGTAGATTTAACGTTTTTTAATAACTTATTTTTAAAAATTGCCACCCTAACTTAAACCTAAACTTATCTCTCGTCTCGCTAGTTTAAGATTTAAGAAATCAGTGGTATAAAATAAAAATAAAAAAATAGATTTAACATATTAGTGGAACCTCTTTTTAATTTGAGGGCTGGGTAAAACCCAACAGAAAGTATTAATTTGAACTTGGATTATATTCACGGGTGAGTTGGGTCCTAAACATCCTTCCTTAAAGGGTTTATTTAATCCACTCCTACAAAAAAGGAATAATGTAGGATTGATGTTCTGAAAAGGGGGGAAAATCCATTGTATTAATTAGTGTATTAATATAATGGTTTAAACTTAATACATTGTATTAATTAGTGTTAAATTAAAAAAAAAATATTTATTATATTAAAAATACAAAAGTATTCATTCTTAAACTCAATATATTGTTTTAATATAATGTATTAGTTTTTTAACAAATGATCTCAAAGCAAGTTCTCGTAAATAAGATCGTTTATATAAATGAATAAAGAAAGAGTACTAAATATTTGCTTCTTCTCTTCTCTTTTTTTTTGCCTTTTTTTTTTATCAAATTATTAAAGTATGTTATTGGGTGAGGAGTAAATTATTTCTCGGATGATTCTTGGAAGAGTTACTCCTATCAATATCTTTTTTATATATTGAATATCAATAATCAAACCACTGAATATTTTAATACTACATCTATATATGTTCATGCTCCGCAAATTATTTCTAGATAAATTAAACATTCATAGTTAGGTGATTTTATAATTAACATTTTCTTGTATTAATTTTAAAAAGTATATTTTATACATTAAGTTACATTTATTTAATGAATTATCAAATAATTTTAAAATTTTATAAAATTTGTACACTTCATTTAATCGATAAAAGCATTTAATTGAAAATCACTAGAGTTTAATGCAGCAGACAAAAGAGTTATTAAGTAGAATTACTAGAGTCTCTCGGAGTGATTATTCCCACCTAAATTATTAAGGTAGCAAATAGTTAATTAGTATTTTAAAATATTTACCCTGCCAATGAATGTCATTATATATGGTTTAGTTTAATTATTTGAGCAGCATGCACCTTGTGTTGTGAATGTATTATTCAGTAACGTGTATTTATAATGTATTAATTAATATATATTCATTCTTATTAAGTGATCAGTGATTACAAACAAACAACAAAAGAAAAGAAACTAACAATCCAGAAAATGGAATTATTTTATCCGTATCATTTCTCGAAGAAAGTAAAAAGGTATACAATTTTTGTTTTTGTTAAATTGAAAGATATACACACATGTATATGAATAAATTGAACTCTATCGTAAAGGAACAGAAGCATCTATTTTTCTTTTGGCCTAGAAAGAATAGCTTATTTCTAAAAATACTATGGCAATTATGAATATAAGTTGAGAAACTAATTCCACTTTACATTAATTATTATTGATGAAGTCTAGAGAGGACAAAGATGCATGCTGAGGAAGTGAGTACAGCAGCAGCGAAGCAAGCAAGATCAAGGCCTGTGACTAAGGGAATGTCCTTGAACTTCTCTAATAGCCCCACTTGAAGAATCATCATCACTGCATGCCCAATCTTCGACTTCGCTTCTGCAATTGATTGCATCCCTACCCACCGAGGGGTTGACTGAAATTTTATACACCAACAATCATTAACGTGTCAATTTTTTTTTTTCAATAAAAATTTACCAAGTTTAATTTTGTGCATTTACAACTACCACTAGGATCTTATGTTTACTTCGCTTAATAATTGTAGTTTTTTTAGTAAGACAATTATGTTCCAGAAGTGCATGGGTATGTGAGTATGCTATACCTTCATATAAAAGAGACCTAGCAAGTTTGATCCACAAAGATGTGGTTCCGTTTCTTTACTAGTGCTGGTGCTTGATCCCACAAACATGACGTACATACCCACCCCAAAAATGAAAAAGGCAGTTCCTATCAGAAACGCATCTGCACCAAAAGATGATCCAACACTTTCAATTAATTTTGTCAGAGCAGAAGATGCAATAAGCAGGTACAAGAAACAAATCATTAGAGACATTGTACTTGCTTCTAATTAGATACAATAAATTTTTTTTCTATTTTTTATTTTTACTACTACAAAGGAACAGTTAGATCTGCTGCAATCAATGAATTTACTCATTCAAACAGTCAGGAAATCAAAACCGTTAAATTAATAAGATTGAATTATTAGTTTTTTAATCTTGACAAATCGTGTTTATAACAAACTATAAATCTGTGTAATCCGGTATTTATTGTTGATTGCGCGAATGCACGATATTCTTTATATACATTACATCAAATCTATTTTTTCATGTCATGAAAAATGTTACAAAAAAGAAATGTGGACAAGTTCACCAGGTAACAGACAAACCTATGGCTTCGATGAGTAGATGCACCAAATGTCCTTGGTCCAACCTTTCAGATAACATATGGAAATAATGCACGTATGACTCCATAACTAGAAGGCAACCCTGCATTTACGAAGAAGCCACCTGTTGTTTAAGTTTTAACAATTATATATTTTTGTCTTTAAAATAACAAAAGCAAAAGGTACTAAAGGGTGGACACTGGACACATTAGCTTCATAAATACCTCAACAAAACACAATACCGAACCAAGTAAAGATCCTGCAACTGCGAACAACGTAAAAAATCTGCAATCGATTATTGCCTGCAGGAGTGAAAGCCGTGTTACCATACATTAATAATTATATATATATATGTGCTGATGTCAGAAATTAATTCTAGTTATATTGGACTATACACCATGACCATATAGATCGATCATATCTAACTAATTAACAATGTTGCTGCCTTATTTTAAAACCGTAATACATCATTGGTTTATGGTCTATGATAACATGAATGAGGGACTAAGTGCACATTAGAGTTTCCTCCTATAACAAGCAAAGAGTATGTAGACAGTACAAAACTAATTCCTATCTAAAGTCGCTAGTTGTTGTATTGTTAAGCACAGTTCTAGGGAGTAGTCACATACAAGAATTTTTCATATATCAAATTTTTTCAAACATTTTAATCAATAAATGTTAAATCCTGTTTAAATTCAAAAAATACTTCTAACTTATATCCAAATAGATTCTTAGCAGCTAAAAATACTGGCAAAAAGATATGGAAAAAGTTATGCAGGTATATACGTGCCCTTTCAATGAGAATCTGCGGTGTCAAATTGCGTAGTTTCCTTTTGACAACAGCCCGCAAAAGAAGCAAAAAAGCATTGCGAATAGTAGCTATTAAAGCAGCTAAATCTGACAAGCCTTGCTGAATCACTGGTTGTGATGTGGTTATGTGTTCAGTGATAGCCATCGTTGCCTTCACTGCTACCACTGGTTTTCTTTCTCCCTTCGTAGAAGCTAAGTTATGATCTCCATTATTCAAGCTGGCCCTGCTTTGGTACCGTACACATTTCATGAACAAAGAAGAAGAAAGAGGAGGAGGAAGTTGAATTGGTCTAGAGGCACGTAACACTCTAGTGGTTGCCATTCACAATTGATTTGTGTTTGGTTTGGTCCAATATTCCAATTAGAATTTTATGGTATGAGAGGGTGTCTTATTAATATACACCACGAATATATGCATGCATCATGCAGACATAGGGGACCGAAGATTCGAGGCATATTTTGGGGAGTTTGGACACATGCTGAACTTTTGAATGGACTAAGAAAATTGAGCGCACTCGCACATGCCAATTTAGGGTTTCCACTTTCCAGAACGTGTGGGCTCCCTTGCGTTTTGCATCGAACACGTGTACCATTAGTAACTTTGAAGATCCTTTTTATGATGGTTCTCACTTTGAAAGATCTTTAATTTCTACTTGTACATCGCTAAGATATTTTTAAATTTGAGTTGAGGTAAAATGTGATGATATCTAGTCAAAGATTTTGATGTATGGTAAGATTATTGGTTTGGTAATAATTGTTTAAAAATTACATATAAAATATTTTTTAATTAGTTCACAATGTAAATTTTTTACAATTGTAATTGTAACGTATTAAAATTAAAATTTTAAATTTAAGTGATATTTAAAAATAAAATAAGAGATCAAATCATTATTATTAAATCATGTATTTTAATGTCTTCCATTCTCAATGATGAGAATTGTACTTTATTATATAAAGTAAATCCAAAAGATAAAATTTGTCAATTAAACAAAAATATTTGAATTAGAATATTTCATTTTTGTGTTTATTAATTTAATATGGTATGTACATATTTAGAATTTAATATTAGATTAATTAAATTTAAGTAATAATATATAAGAATAATAAAAAATAAATAAAAGTAAAATATATACAAGATACTTGGTTGCAAGGAACTCACTTGGCGTACTATGAAATAAATATTTCAATTAAAAATAATCATTTAAATTTGTATATAAAATAGCAACAAATTATTTTATATAAAAATTAAAATAAAAAAATATTAAATTCTATTTTATTTAGGATTAAATATATTTTTAGTCCTTAAACCTTTGTCAATTTTGTTTCAATATTTGAACAAATTTCATTTGGTTTTAATCTCTAAAATCTTTTCGTATGAACAAAAAATTTTAATACTAGGGACCAAAGTGTTAATAGAAGAAAAGTTTTAAAGAGTAAGAGTGAAAATCGATGAAAGTTCAGAGATTAAAATTAGTAAAAATATTATTCAAGAACTAAAAAATAAAAATTGACAAAGTTCATAGACTAAAATTATTTTTAATCCTTATATTTAAATAGTGAGACATAATTTGAATAAAAACATTTTTTTTCCTCTCTAAAAAATGATCTTTAAAACTATTATCCAATACATTTTAACATGTAAAAGTAAAAATAAAACAATCTTAATTAGTTGTAATGTCCGCACGAAGATTTATATATTATTAATTAATTAATCAGAAATCGTGTGTAAAGAACTTCTCAAATTTAAGTTACTTGTACTTTCATTAACTTTTTAAACTCTATTCCTTTTGTCAATTTTATACTTAATTTTAAGTTATTTATATTATTAATTAGTTCTATACTTAAATTAATTATTCATGTATTTTTATAGTGTTTAGCTTATATTTAAATTCAAAAGATCCGTGTAATAAACGGGTATTGTTTGTTTTTCTTAACAATAAATTTCGCAAATATTTTCAGAAAAATACAGACATGTGATCCCCTACTCTTCTATTTTTATTCTTTTATGGGGAAATATTTGTTCTTTAGCGCTCCTTCGTGGTGGTAGCATGGTAGCCTCCAAGATGTACTTAAGGCTAAGACTTCGTATCTTAAGGTTTTTTCAAGGGACGTGTCGTTAGAATGAAAGAAACTTGAATCACAAGCTTTAATTATATTTTTCAACTTTTGCAAAATTAAGATCCTATAAAAAGAAGAAAAAAAAACCAACCACTAAAATTGTGGCTGCACGATTAAATGTGTGAAACCTATCTTTGAAGCATTCCAATTTTCAGTTCTATTTTATAAGCCACGGAAACAACGAAACTGTTTTGGAGTTTTGTATCACATTTCTCCGCATGCGCTTTACCGACAACAAAAAATGCTAGCACATACATTTTGTTTTTGTATTACAACCCACTAGAGTTCTTCTTATGTTTGAATACCAATTTAAAATTGAAAATAATTTTAATATAAAAAGAAAATTCAACTCTAATTGAATTCAACTAATTTTTAAATACATGCATCCACCATAGTGTCATATAGGTTACCGTCCATCTGCCGGTGTCGTTTTTCATGTCTTTGCTCTTTGTTGATATATAGGATACGATGTATTTTAAAGTTAAATTTTAGTCTGAGTTGAAAGGCTAAGGTTTTTAATTAGTCTAAGATTTAAGGTTAAGTTCTGAGATGCATTTCAAACATATTACATGCAACCAAAAAATCTAAACAAAATACATCCAAATTTTACTTGTCTAGGGTACTCATTGATTTTCTCCTACTTATAACTCTAATGCTCTCAAATCTCTCAAACAAGTGTTCAAACACCGAGTACTTCGAATTTTGAGATAATTACAAAAGACATTTTAACATTCAAGTAATAGTTCAACACATGATAAATATTAATAATAAATGCATGAACAATATTTTTTACTTCAATTTTCGTTATTATATTTATACGGGGCGTATCAGGCTTTCAACCTTGATCGCAAGTATGTATAGTAAGAGGGGCTCAACTATGAAGTTTGTGTTTGAAAAAAAAATTTGAATTCATTTCAAAACAATAATCTTGATATTTTTATATTTTATGTATTAAAAAGTAAAAAAAAACACATCCGAATGTTTTGAAATGGCACACTCCAAGTCACTGAAGGCTAATGTGGCCTTGGTTTGTCGAGAATTGAGAGTGGTTGACACATTCAACTGACAGTTATTCCAATGCACAATTGTCCTATGTTTTACGGTATCCAAGTACCTATATATACAAACCAATAATAATCAACCCAAAAATTGAAACATAATCAACTAATAATACAAGCAACAACCAAAACAAAAGTAAGCAAACAATTTCGGAATAGGCAGAAAACAAAGCAAAATATGTTAGGGATGAAACTTGAGCAAGCAAAATGGAGGTTGTAGTAGAGGGGACAAAATACTTTCCTTGCCGGAATGTAAAAAAAGGAGGTTGTAGAAGACTCGTTGGTGTAAAAAAATTAGAGAAAATGGCCTTGAACGGTGGTCGGAAGTTGCATGGAGAGGTCGCAACATTTGAGAACGTGAACAAAAAATGAGTGAATGAGAAGGGGATTCTACATCCGATATAAGATACCCCTTTGTACATTAACATCATTTTAAAAATAATTCGCCGTAATTTTTTTTGTTTATATCAATCGTAAAATAAGTGGTGTAAATTTCTGTTATTAAATATAATTTTTAAGGCTAAATTATATTTTTATTCTTTTACTTATTTTTAAAATTTAGTTTATATTTCTATTATTTTTAAAATATTCATTAATTTTTTAATTTTTAAAATATGTTTAATATTGTCATTTCATTCAAATTGATACTAACGATCTTAATGAAATTAAATGAAAGGATAATATTAAATATTTTTTAAAAACTAAAAAATTAAATTGAACATTTTAAAAATAAAAAGAGTGAATTGAACATTATAAAAATAATAGGACTAAATTGAATAAAAGCAATTATCTAACATTTTTTTGTCTAGATAAATATGATTTTTTTTTCTTGTATTAACAAGATAATGAATGACAATAAACTGAGTATTTAGAATTAAAAAAAAAAATACAAAATAAAGAAATTATCTAATAAAATAAATTATTAAATACATAAAAGAAAATTAAAATTTATCTGGATAAAAAATTGTTAGATAAATTTTTGTACAATTTAGTTCCTCTATTTATCAAATTGAATGATTCAAATTAATTATCTAATTTCAAACAATATTTAGTGATTTCCTGTCGGTTGATTTTATTAATGTTATTAGTGTCCATTTACACGAAAGAATAAGTTATATATTTTAAAAAAAAAAAAACTAGAAAATCAAATTAAATTGTTTAAAAATAATATTGAATTTTAAAAATAAATCGTGTAATCAATAGTATAGTTTTATTTTATTTTTAACTAGTGACTGTTTAGGTTCGAATCACTATTCATTTAGAATTATAATAGATCATGGACAAAATCTTGATTTTCGCCTCTTCCAGGAAAAATAGGAAGCCTATGTCCGACCACCGTTCCAGAGTATTTTCCTATGTTAATTTGTGGTGTGAACAAATTTTGTAATGGAAGAGAACTTGGTCTCCTTTTCTGAATAGATATTATTTGAACCCATTAAGAAGGAACTTGTGAATTAAAAACCTGATGCACAACAAAATTGTTGGAGGCTTTCACAAAAAGAAGACAATCATCTGCAAAATATTCTGTTAATATATTTTCTTGCAAAAAAAAATTATGACCTAGTTAAGTTTAAAAACAACTTAAATTAGATACTGGCAAATTATTTCTCTTATGGAATTACATCCATTTAACAATAAAATTATATTTAAAAAAAATAAAAGAGTTTATCCATAAAGTTAAAATTATATGTTTAATATACTCTCCTTATAACTGCTTTTTGGTCTTCATTTTTTAATAGACTATTATACTCCCAAATATAAAAAAAAAAAAAATCTTAAATTTTCTTTAAATAATTATACATAATTTTCTAATATTTTAATAGTAAATAACTATTAGAGGCACTCCTATAGTGAACATAAAAAAAATTGAAAATGATAATATGCAGTAAAAATTTTAAAACTATCAAAGAATTGAACCTGACGTGAATCGAATACACAACCTTCTGATCTGGAGTCAGACGCGCTACCATTGCGCCACAGATCCACATGTTGATAAATTTATTTATTAATTTTATTTGTAACCTATTATTATTCTCCGGATTTCATTCTCCAAGTTTTCTTCTTGTTGCGATTGTAGCATGTCGATAAATCATACATGAATAACAAAAATGCTGCCCTATGATTGAAGACGTTGAGGAGTCTTCAATTGTTCTGAACGTTACTTAGGTTAGGGCTCTCCTAATATTTGATAAAAATTTATACGCTACAACACTAATTGGACGCTAGACCATAAATTGTATGATGTAGATGGACATGGAGTAGTGAATATATTAGGTGCTACTTTCTAAGAAAATAATAAAATCACTGTATATTCTTTTAAATTGAAGTCAAATATACAGTGTGTTCCCTATTAATTTAAAATATATATTTAACTTCAATTTAAAAGAATATATATTGATTTTATTATTTTCTTAGAAAGTAGCAACCTAATATATTCACTATATGTGTTCTTTTAATCTTTATAAAATGAACGAATTTTTATTTTATTTTTCGTAATTATTTTTATCCCTCTAAAATTTAAAATAATTACTTTTGTTTCCTATTAATTATTATGACAATAATTAATAGATTTCATAAAAATATATAATGCTCAATTTCAATTGATATTCAAGTGTCGATCATCATATACAAATGTCTTTTACTTCTTTCCAAATTTATAGTAATATTATGAAAATGATTATTTTCTTTAATATATGTGATTTTGTTGAAAATATTATTTGAAAATCATGTCTCGTTTGAAACTTGATGAGATTCCACTTGTGAAATCTCAAGAACACTTCAATGCTTCTCAGATTCCTTAGAAAATTGTCAAGGAAGAAGACTCCAAGTAGCACTAATGTGACCAAAGCTTGCTTCTAGCTAAGTCCGGAGAAGAAAAAGTTAACCTAGCTCTACAAAGAGAGGAGCTCAAGAAGGGTAGAGTTTACGTTAGGGTGACTTTCGGAAAGGGAGAATTCAAGATGAAGAAATCTCATGAATTAATCCAAAAGTGATACAATTCTCGGCCACTTGAAATTTATAGGAAATAATCAGGTTAAAGTGACCATGGGTTAGCCTAAGGTTAAGTGAAACCATGGTATGGTTTACTTAACCTTAGGCGCCCAAAATTTGAATTCAAAATTTAAATTTTGGAGCCTAAACCGGATCACACCATGTGCACCTCATTTGGAATGTCATTAAGCTTCCATTTGAGTTGCATTTCGGTCACACCATGTGCATGTGTTGTACATGGCCGAAATGCATACCAAATGTGAAATTAATTACATTCTAATGCAAATACACATGCAACCTAAATAACCCTAAATTTAAATGACCATCAAATGAAATCCTAATCTAAATGGCCTCTACTCCTAATCTACTTGGGCTTGAGTCAAAATCCAACTAAACAATGTGATGGGCTTTCCTTGAGCTTGGACCCACTCCTCTTGTATCCTCCTTGTCATAGTCCTAGTAGTTGGGCCCTTGGCCCATGGGCCTCCTCCATCAAAGCTATTTTAAATTTTGGCAACTCAAGAAGTGACATCGAAAATGTTGTTGCTTACAATGAATCTCCAATTGACAACAACTCTTATGACAACAACTCACCAACACTACCAGTAGATGCAAACAACTCGTCAGATCGAGGCAAAAGCGGGTTAAAGTGACTAGAAAGGTCCTTACCCACAAAGGGATTGAGTTTGGAGATGTGAAAAATAGGGTGGACATGAGACCATGGAGAAAGGTTGAACTTTCACGCTATAGGGCCAATATGACGAACGATGCGAAACGAGCCATAAAAATGTTTAACTAGTTTTTGACTAACTTGGCAGTGCGTGGTTATTTGGTGATAGGATTGTAACATCAAAAGTACCTAATAACTAACAAAGAAGGTAAAGTCACAATGATTTTGATCGACATGAAACTTCATTCTTTGTCTTGCTTTAATCAAATTGGTTGTTATGATTGAAATGATGGTACGATGTTCCTACATGCAAGATTGAAGCCGTGGAAACTAAAGCAAATGGTTGTGAAAGCAGATCAACGGTAGTGGGAGGGTGTCAACCATATAGAACATGAAATGACAATGTGTCGATGTTGGAGTGGAAGGAAGTGTGGTACCGAAACTCCACCTAGTGAAGGAAACATACCAAAGGCAAGTAGCGTTAATGACGAAAGAATGGAGAAAAGACTTTAAACTCTGATTAAGAACTTCAATTTGGTCATCCATTTGGTGGTGGTAAGAAGAACTAAGCGAAGCATAATACCATGACAACGAAACAATTGATGCTAAAACACACTCACACTACAACACAATAAATATTTAGAAACATTTGAAAATTGTTACTTAATTGTATAAAAATGTTACTAAAAGTCTTTAGCAACATATTATCAAATGTTGTATATAGTCCATGTTGCTAAAGACTTTTAGTAACATTTTTATACAATTAGGCAACATTTTTCAAATGTTATCAAAGTAGTATTTTTGTAACATTTTAATAATGTTGCTAAATTTTTGTTAATTTTATAAAATAATTAATTTTAATTTAGATATTAATCTCAATTACTATATTTTTTTTATATATCCTATACTCCTAAGGATTCTTTAAGAGAAGATTGAAGATCTCTTTAATTAGTCACCACTAATTACATATAAAATATCAAAGTTTATTTATCTTGAGTATAACTATATGATTATATATACTCTTTATGAGTTATTCGTTTATTCGATGTGGAACTTTAATTATGGATAACATTTAGATATGAGAGAAATATACTTTTTTTTATTCGATGTGGGACTTTGATTTTATAAGCACTTATAGTAACATTTTAAAAAAAAATGTTACAAAATAACCTATATGACATTTTTTTACTCGATATGGAACTTTGATTTTGAAAACAATTAAAAAGAATAATATTGAAATAAAAAATGTTACTCTATCTAATGACATTTTTCAAAAAAATGTTACAAAATAATTTATTTATTCAATATATAATAACATTTTAACAAATGTAAGAAAGAAAATGTTACTAAAGAGTTAAAATGTAGTAGTGTCACAAATATCGGATCACGATTACAGATGATTATTTTTTAGAACATATGAAGGCGATAAATGTTAGACATAAATAAATGAGTTAGTTGGGGAGCAACAAACTTCGAAATAAGGGCTAGGAAATGACCATACTTATTGAGCGTGTCACAAATAACCCAAATTGTTGTGTGCACAAAAGAACTAGGTAAATTGGTAATAAAATCCATAGTTATATTTTCCAGATGCGGATAGAATTTGGAAGAGGGTGCAATAAATTCATTTGTGTCTTTTTTGTGTATTTGTTGTGTTTCCATACCACACATTGGCAGATGAAAGACATTAGGTTTGATAACATGGACAACTTATAGTACGAGGTAGTAAGGCGACACAAACTAGGTTTTAATCCTTAATAACCAGTAGTGGGTGTGGTGTGAAATTTGAACATTAACTGGGAATGAAAAGAATGAGCATTTGGAGCAAAAAAATTAAATGTCCACAAAAGAATAACAACCCATTGTTAAAGTTAAAGTATTCCTTAAGCTTCAGGTTTGTGAGGTATTTTTGTTTTAGCTCTTGCCCTTGTTTGTCTACGAAATAATATTTTTTCCAATTCTACAAGAAATCGGGAACATGGGATGAAATTGAGAACAAACAACTTGACAGATTCTGAATGAGAAAAGGCATCAACAATCGCATTATGATGACTTGGCCAATAGATAATCTCAAAGTTGAACCTCAACAATTTAGTAGCCCATTTCTACTACTCCAGAGCATGTACCTCATGGGAAAGCAAGTACTTTAAACTCTGTTGATCTATGGTAATTTAAAACGCATGGCCAATCAAGTATTGGTGCCATTTATTAATTGCCTTTGTTATTACATACTTTTCTTGCACATAGACTGATTCTAACTTCATTTTATTGCAAAAATTCTTACTAAAAAAAGCAACGGGATAATGGTTTTAGGACAATACTACACTAACAGCCATAACATAAGCATCAATCTCAAGAACAAAAGGATAGCTAAAATCCGGAAGTGTGAGCACCAAAAAAGAAGTAATGTGTGACTGCAACTTTGTAAAAGCCATCTATGCTTCTAAATTCTAGGTAAATTTGGGCAACTTCAATAGATTCATGAGAAAAAAGGCAATAGTTGCATAGTTATGAACAAATTACTTGGAGAAACCTGTAAGGCTCAAAAAGCCACGCATAGCCATGAGTGAATGTAAAACGGGCCATTTCAAAATGGCTTTAATATTTTTGAGTTCAGGTGTGACCCCCTTAGTTGAAATAATGTGGCCTATATAAGTCACAGAGCCTAAGCCAAACAAACATTTACACTGTTTAGCATAAAATTTGAGAGCCAATAACAAATCTAGAATTGAACGTAAATGAAGTAAATGAGTTGTGAGTGATTTATTGTAGACCAAGATATCATTAAAGAGAACAAGAACAAATTTTCGTAAAAAGGGTCTAAGTAAATCATTCATTATCAATTGAAATGTTAATGGGGCATTTTGATGGAAGCCCTCCTAGCATTGATGGAAGAAGGACGATCAATGAGAGGACTCCTAGACTCCACGGATCTTAGTTCTTCAAAGGCCTAGCCTTGGATGGTGGTGGTGACCAAAAATGGAGGAAGGATAGAAGGTGTTTGATGAAATTCTTGAGAAGTACTCTAGGGTTTGGCTCACTCTAAGGTAGATGAAGGTCACTCCTAAGGTTTTTACTCAAAGTGGAGATAGGTAGGGTTCTTGGCCGAAAATGACCAAGAGAGACTAAGGAAAATATAAAGGCACAAAAGGCTCACTCTATATTAATTTCCAAAGTATTTACAAGGTTGCTAGCCTAGGGTATTTATAGAAAGGAGGATGCATTTAGGGTTACATTTGAGAGTGCTTGGCTAAAAAATGCAAGCCAAATGCACTTCAAATGAAACCTAAATTAATCCTAGATGCTACTTGGTGGCCAAGGAT